ATGAAGAAATGCAGTCTTCACATCTAACTGCTCGAGATAAAGATCTTCAATTGCAACAATACTCAACACTGTTCTAATGGTATTGAGTTTCACAACAGGAGCGAATATCTCATTATAATCAACTCCTTCTTTCTGTTGAAAACCTTTGACAACTAGTCGAGCCTTATACCTCTTGGAATCATCGTGCTCCTTTTTTGCTCGATATATCCATTTGTTATGAAGGGCCTTCTTACCTATGGGTAACTCAGTTAGTTCCCATGTCTGGTTTGAAATTAGGGATTGCATTTCATCTTTCATTGCAAGCCCCCACTTGCTAGCATTTCTGGTCTGGGATGCTTCATAATAATCTTCTGGTTCCCCATCATCAGTTAATAACAAATAATTCATATATTTTCTATTAGGCACATGTGGTCGAGTACTCCTTCTTAGGGTAGGAGTTGGACAAGAAGGTTGTTGTATGTCATTTGATTGCGATGTACTGCCCTGTACAGTCTGTTCTTCTTGTTGCGGAGTACTTATGATAGTGTACTCTTGCATCGTACTGTCTGGGACATAATCTTCATCAATGAATGTAGATTCTTTTTAATTTGTTTCATAACTCTCAATTTTATGCCTATCTTTGTACATGACTCTCTCATTGAAAATTACATCTCTTGAACGAATAATCTTTTTGCTTTCATCATCCCAAATGCGGTATCCGAACTCATCTTCGCCATAACCGATAAAAGTGCAAACTTTTGATTTTGGATCAAGCTTATTTCTGCCTTGATCACTAATGTGCACATAAGCTACACAACCAAATACCTTTAAGTGCGACAATTTGATCTCTTTGCCGCTCCATACCTCCTCTGGTAATTTGTACTCCAATGGGGTTGATGGTCCTCGATTGATCAAGTAAGCTGCTGTATTGACTGCTTCTGCCCAGAATTGTTTTGGTAGACCTGACTGTATACGAATGCTTCTGGCTCTTTCTGTCAATGTTCGGTTCATCCGCTTAGCTATGCCATTATGCTGAGGCGTACCTGGCACAGTTCTTTCCATCTTAATACCATGCTCGTAGCAAAACTTCTTGAATTTGGTGTCCTCATATTCTCCGCCATTGTCGGACCTGAATCTTTTGATCTTCAGACCTGTTTCATTTTCAACCCTAGCTTTCCATATCCTGAAAACTTCAAACACTTCGGACTTGTATTTTAGAAAGTAAACCCATACTTTCCTATAGTGATCATCAATAAAAGTCACAAAGTACTGTTTTCCACCTATAGACTGGGTGGTTGTTGGTCCCCACACATCAGAATGAACAAGCTCCAATTTTTCTTTCATTGGAGTTCTTCCATATGTCTGAAAGCTTACCCTCTTCTGCTTTCCAAGTATGCATTCTTCACACATGTCTAAATTCACAGATTTTAGACTAGGGAGTTTTCCAATTGAATGCATGATCTTCATTCCTTTCTCACTCATGTGACCAAGTCTTTGGTGCCATAACTTGGAATTTTCATTCTCTGTTGCAACTGCAATCGAATAACACGCTCCATCTGTCAAATAGAGAGTACCATTCTTTTTACCATGAGCAACTATCATTGCTCCCTTTGAAATCTTCTAATTATCACCTTGAAAGATTATAGTGTAACCTTCACGAGCCAACTACCCTACTGAGATCAAGTTCTTTCTTAGGTCGGGAACATGTTTGACATCCTTCAGCTCCCAAGCTGACCCATTTAACTTAATTTTGACATTATCTTGACCAACAATATCACAAGGTTGGTCATCACCAAGGTATACCTGTCCAAGGTTTCTATGGACATACTTCTCAAAAAAGTTTTTATTAGAAGTAGCATGGAACGATGCTCCAGAGTCTAATACCCAAGACTCTTCTTTTCTCTCCAATGAGCATATCAACGCATCATCACCTTCTCCGGTAGAAGTGACATTTGCCTCTGCCTTCACTTCTTTGCCTTTTGGTGTTCCCTTACACTGATTTTTATAGTGCCCAATCTTTCCACAATTCCAACACTCCACAGTCTTTGAGTTTTGGAAATTATTTGGATTCCTGGATTTTGACCTCCTATCTCTGGATTGTCCTCGATAGTTAGATCTTCCGCGTTCATTCCTTCTGATTAAATTTCTTCCTCTTGACTCTGTATGCAATACTGAAGAGGATGAAGATTCACCTGATTCTCTTCGTCGAATCTCCTCACTAAGAACCAGATCACGAACGTCATCAAACTTTAACTTGTTATTTCCCGATGAGCTACTCACAGCTGTGACTGTAGCATTCCAACTATCTGGCAGGGAAGATAAAAGTATTAACGCTAATACTTCATCATCAAATTTGATTTCAACAGAACTCAATTGGGTTGTGACAGAATTGAGTTCATTAAGGTGTTGAGCTACCGATCCACCTTCCGAGATCCTCAAACTAAACAACCGCCTCATCAAATGAACTATATTGGAGGCTGATGGCTTCTCATACATATTAGAGAGAGCTTTCATGAGACCTGCCGTTGTGGTTTCCTTTGCAATGTTAAACGCCACATTGCGTGATAACGTCAATCGAATAACTCCGAGTGCTTGTCTATCTAAAAGCTTCCATTCTGCTTCTTGCATGTCATCTGGCTTTTTCTCTTCCAGAGGTTGATAGAGTTTTTTCTGGTATAAATAATCTTCAATCTGCATTTTCCAAAATCCGAAATCTTTACCATCGAATTTTTCAAGTTTAACTTCTCCTTTGTCTGCAGCCATTTCTCCCAATCAAATTTGACTATTTCTTTTAGGATCGTTTTTATTTTTATTGTAATGTGGACTAATTGTCAACCAAGCTCTTGATACCAATTGTTAAGAAAATAATGCAAATTTTCTATTTAATCAAATTTGAGGGAGAAATAAATTACATAAACAAAATGTCTATTTATACCAAAGTGCAAAAAACACAACCCCTCTTTTCTCTGAGTTATTTTTCTTCTCTCAGATTTTCTCTTGAAAATATTACATACAAATGAAGGAAATGCTCAATTTATAGTTTTCCTAAAACAACCTAAGCCATTTAAAATTTAGCCTGCAATATTTATTACCATTAGTTATTTTTTCCTATTTTTGGAAACACCTTTAATTTTCAATGGTAATGCATGGTTATTTAATAACCATTTATTTTTTTTTCTTTATGTTTCTTAATTATCTGCCAACAATTACATGACCATATTTCTTATAAAGTTCATGAAGTGAACGATGGGGGAGTGACCCTATAAGATTGAAATTCCCAATGATAGGCCATGGGTTTGGACCTGGTGGTAGGTTATGTTTACGACGGCGAAGGTGGTTAGTAAGGAGGACTACGGCAATGGTTGCTAGCCATGCAACTGCATAGGCTGCCCAAGTTGGTGCCTCCACTAGTAAGGTGACCATTTTGTGAAGGTAAAATATTAAAGATTTTTGTTTTGAAATTTTAAGGGGGGTCTACGTTTGCATGTAGAATAATGTTATAATTTTTTTTTAGTACTAATTATAGTAAATTAAGCAAAAAGAATTTAAAATACAATCAATGCATGAAATAAATAAGTAAATACTTTTCACGTCGTATTTTTTGGACTAAGAAATAAAAATGAACGCAAAAGCTACTCTTCAATTCATAATAACCACTCATAAATATAATAATCCTACATTAACATTTACTGTAACTAGTATGTCATGGATCTTCATTTTGTATGAGTGGTTCTATTTTACGGGAATTTTTTGGCTAAACTGAAAATTTTCAAAGTCTAATTCGGTTGCTAGCTAGCTACTACTAGTCTACAAGTTCATGTAAAAGATATTTTGTATACAATACTTGATAAGATTACCACAAAGTCTTATATGTGGTTAGTCACATGATGTGCCCACTTCACATAATCACATACAAGACAATTAATTAAGTAATATGAGGTTACGGTGATGAGCAAATAGGGTTACTTTAACGCGTATGTAGGTTACTTAAATGAGAAATAGGGGTTATTATCTCAAATAAGTGGAATAGTTCTTTCATTTTTTAAAACAAAATAATAGAGGCTACTTGAATGAACAAATATAGTTACTTATTTCTAAATTACATGAAATCACTTGTATAATGAATTTGGTTTACTTTTATGGACAACGTACATGAGGTTACTCTTATGATAAATTGAGGTTACTATACTCATATATATAAATGAAGATTACTCTTATAAACTAATGTGACCACACCGTGTGGCCAGCCACTTATAAGACTTACCCATTTGGATATATTTCTCGAGTTGATTTTGTTTTTTATTTATTTTATTTTATTTTATTTATTTATTTTTTTAATATTTGTCTATATTATTGGATTTGGTATGGTAGATCGTCAACTGCAAAATTTCTAAATTACTCGGGACTTGATAGAAATTGTTACAATGTCGTTGTAGAAGTTAAGTGACTTAAAGCTAATAACATGAAAATTCTACATATATATGTTGAGGAAATTCAAGTTCAAATTGTGGAAAAATCTAGTGCACAATTTTCGAGGAAGATTTAGCTCTAGTGTACACTGCCATGGCAGTCCAAGTCCAAGCTCATGCGCTTGAACAGGTCTCACAGGCTATTTGTTTTTAGAATGATAGATGGTTCTTATTATATACTCCGTAATAAAGAATCGAGCTAACGAACGCCCTGGGGCGTTAGTTAAGCATTTAAAACATTTTTTAAATTAGTACTCCGTATTTATTTAGAAAAGCATGCTAAAACCACGCGATTGTCGGTGTTATTAATATTTATTTTAATTCAATATTTTTACTACTTTTAGTTATCTTATCCAACGCCTCTGGTCGAGACGTTCGTTAGTTTTTACCAAATTTTTTTCTCTTCCAACTTTTAGATTTTTAATATATAGCGTTAAGGATTATAGATTAAATATCATTTTTTGTACAAATATTAGTGAATGAAATTATGAAACTGTATATTGACAGTCATGACTAATTAAACAATAAAACAAAAAACTTTAAAAGAACGAACATAGGTAGTGTTTACTTATTTTATCATGACCAGTAGTTTACACACTCGATTAATTATTAAAACAAGGAAATTACAAAAGGCCCTAGCCTAGTAACCCAAAACCCAACTTGAAAGATTAAGTTTAGATTCTTTAGGTTCAATAGAAAACTTAAAATTTCACAAATGGTAAATATGGTTAGATAGTCGAGGCTCAGCATAAACACTAAGTGGAATCTTCTTAGGATTTGAGAGACCATAAATCTGTTGCATATCCAAATCTTGAGGCTTCATGTCATCAGGCAATTTCCATGCAAAACCATGAAGAATATTAGCCAAACTCGACTCAACAACTTTAAGGCCAAGACTATATCCAGGGCACATCCTTCTTCCCGATCCAAAAGGCAACAACTCGAAATTATGACCTTTGACATCGATATCATTTCCAATAAATCTATCAGGCCAAAACTCGTCAGCCCTTTCATACACCTTAGGGTCTCTATGTATTGAGAAAGTATTTACAAGCACAACGGAGCTCTTAGGTATATCATAGCCTTCAATTTTAACTTGTTCTCTTGCCGAGTGAGGCACGAGCAAAGGCCCTACTGGGTGCAGCCTCATTGTTTCTTTTACTATTGCGCGAATATAAGGTAAGTTTTGTATGTCTTTTTCTTGAACCCATCTTTCCTTCCCAATTATGTGGTTCATCTCTTCAATTGCCTTTTTAACAATGTCAGGTCTTCTTATGAGTTCAGCAATTGCCCACTCTACTATTACCGTTGAACTTTCTGCACCTCCAGCAATTAAATCCTGTAATAATTAATTACCATGTAAAACTCATATTAGTTTACTAGGATTTATATATTATAGTAAATCATTGTGCAATGAAAAAGAAAAAAAAAAAAAAAAAAAACTAAAATTAGGTTATACCAAGCAAAATGCCTTGACCCCAGCTCTTTCAAGCTTAACTTCATTATTAGGATCATCAGCAAGTTGTAACAATACATCTACCATATCTTTAGGCTCCCAATTTTCCTTTTCTTTCTTCCTTCTTGCATTGTGTTCATCCAAAACATACTCCAAAAATCTATCACTTTTCTTAGCCGAAATCTTCATCCTTTTCACATAACCATACACATCAATGTACTTAAACAAGGGGATCCAATCCCCAATATTAAGCACCCCATTTAGCAAGAGCAATTCTTCAAGCATTAATTTAAATTCTTTTAGTGTTGTTACCTTACTAGTCTCTTCATTACTTTTTTCCAAGTATTTTTTCCCAAACACCATCCTAGTAATCACATGTAAGTTCATAGCAAAGAGGTGATCTTTTAACACTATGGACTCACCCTTAGTGTTAAATATGCCTCTTATCATGGATTTAATCTCTTCTACACGTATGTACTCGTACGAATCGAGCCTCTTTACACTAAAAAGCTCCATCGAGCATATTTTTCGTGCTTGGCGCCAGTATGGATCATATTGAGACCATGTTATATCGGAGTAGTTATACGCTGTGTACTTTCCTGCAGCATTTTGAGGCCTCCCAGCAAAGGCTTCATCATGTTTCTTTAGGATATTTTTCGCCATTTCCGCCGATGATCCTACTAACACCGGGACTGACCCAAATTGGAGCATCATTATATGGCCATATTTCTTAGAAAGCTCATGGAGGGAATAATGGGGAAGGGGCCCTATAAGATTGAAGTTCCCGATGACGGGCCATGGTTTCGGGCCTGGTGGTAGGTTAAGTTTTTGACGGGTAATGTGGTTAGTAAGGAGTACTATGGCTAGAACTACTAGCCATGCAACTGCATAGGCTGCCCAAGTTGGTGCCTCTAAACCCTCCATTGGTAAAGTGTTTTTTTTTTGGTAAATTGTTTTGTGGTATTATGTTTTGTAAGTAGATTTTGAAATGTATGAAGTATTTATAAATTAATGGAGAAAAAAAAAAATGAAACATGGTGCATGAAATCAACACTTTTCCCATCGTCTTTTTGGACTAAAATCTAATGCATGCAGCATAAGAAGTGACATTACTCCGTATCATGCATGAATTGATGCAAATACTTTTCCTACTGCCTTTGTTGGACTAATCGTTACGGAGTATAATACAAATCGAATTTTTAAACTCTGACCAAATGAGATCTTTTACCAAAATGGCTAATTTGACAAAAGTATTTACCAAAACGACTAATTATAAAATTTAATTTCCAAATTATAAAGTTCACTTTATTCTTTTTTTTTAAAAAAAAAAAAAAAAAAGAATTAGTTTTTTTTTTTTTTTTTACTTTGGTTTTATTTAAATTCTAAGGCCATAGTTTAAAATATTCCATTACTTTGAACAATAACAATCAACATAATATATATGCAGCAATTCTCAATTTTTAAAAAAGTTACACAACATAAACAACCACAAAAGGAAAAAAAAAATACAACTATTAATTCACTACTAGAATATAGCCTAATACCGATGGCCAAAATCCATCGGTAAACATATAAAAAAAACCATCGGAATCACGTTTACCAATGGCTGCCATCGGTATTTTGGCCATCGGATAACAATTTGTCGGGAAATCAGAAAATACCGATGGAAAAGCCATCGGTAAAAATAATACTGATGTTTTTCTAAGATAAACCTATTAATACCTTAATTTCTAAGATGAACAATACCTTAAACAAGTATATTGTTTAAATTTTCCAACTTAAAAAAATCTGTAAGTAAATAAAAAAAAAAACAAAGTTAAAAAAAAAAAAAAAGAACCAAATCGGTTCAAAGGAAATAAGAAAAAGATAGATTCCTTCCAAGTTAATAAATTAGCTAGTTTGGGAATTAAAATGTATAATTAGTCGTTTTGGTAAATACTTTTGTCAAACTAACCGTTTTGGTAAAATATCCGACCAAATGTATATAAAATATTTACGAAGTTATGTGATATTTTATTAGATTCGTCTTGACATGTAGCTTTATAGTATTAAAAATTTATAATTATTTTTGTTAATATTAAATTAAAGATAGATATTGATGGTCAAAGGAGTACTTTAGAGCAAAGAAAGTGCGAAGAAGTGAAAAGGTGCGGAGAAAGTGTTAAGGCCACTCCTAAAATGATAGTTATTACATTTTTTTTAGCAAAGAAAGTCCGTATATTTTAAAATAAAAGACACACATATTCGTATTTGGCGTGATTATTCCCCATAATTTTATTTTATATTTCATTTATTTTCATCTTCATATTACTAGTCGCGGGTGGTGCTAGTAGATCTCGTGTCTAATTAAGTTGATGCTAACTCGATTATCAAATATCTAGCAGATACAAGAACATATATTTTGGTATATGAACTTTTAGGTTTTGTAAATAGGACTATAATTATCTAACAGTACAAGAACATATATTCAACCTTAGCTCATATTTGTTGATTATTATAAAACATATCACAAGCAACTTGCTAACAACAAAGAAAACAAGTTCAACTTAACTTCACAAAATAATGTCCCCACCACCACATACTTTCGTTTGTGAGCTAAATTGTTTGATTCCTAGCACTAATTTATATATACTACATCCAGTTCAAATTACTCGCAACTTTTAAATATTTTATACTTCACAAATAATACCCTAAAATTGCGAGTAATTTGGACCGAAATAATACCCTAAAATTGCGAGTACTTTGGACCGGAGGTAGTACTTGGTACTTGCTTATATTCTAAGTCATATGGTGAGAAAGTTGAGGCTCAGCACAAACACTAAGAGGAATCTTCTTAGGATTTGAGAGACCAAAAATCTCTTCCATATCCAAATCTTGAGGCTTCATACTATCAGGCAATTTCCATGCAAAACCATGAAGAAGATTAGCCAAACTCGTCTCAATAACCTTAAGGCCAAGGCTATACCCAGGGCACATCCTTCTTCCTGATCCAAAAGGCAACAACTCAAAATCGCGACCTTTGACATCAATACTCTTTCCAATAAATCTATCCGGCCAAAACTCGTTAGGCCTTTCATACACCTCAGGGTCTCTATGTATAGAAAAGATATTTACAAGCACAACAGAACCCTTAGGGACATCATAACCTTTAATTTTAACTTGCTCCCTCGCTAGGCGAGGCGATAGCAAAGGTGCTACCGGGTGCAGTCTCATTGTTTCCTTTACTATTGCGCAAATGTAAGGCAAGTTTTGTATATCTTTTTCTTGAACCCATCTTTCCTTTCCTATGACACGATCAATCTCTTCTCTTGCCTTGGCTATGATGTCTGGTTTTCGTATGAGTTCAGAAATTGCCCATTCAACGGTTATTGATGAACTTTCAGTGCCTCCCGCAATTAAATCCTGATATTTATTTAAATTTTACATAAAACTCTAATATACATTGTACTATATATATACCTTTATTACAAGGGAAAGGGTGAGGCCAGCCAGGGAAATGGTGTCAACATGAATTGACCTATTTAACCTTATTAATCTATTCCATTTATAGTTAATTAATACACTTAATTTAATTTTTTGCATATTATTTTGTTTACTTTGGCCCTACTAAACATTAAATCCCAGAGGGAGCCCCAGTTCATCTTCATGATGAACAAAAAACATTTATCTAGTGGCTAATCAACATTACTAGGGTCCACATTTGACAAAAGTTTTTTATAATTTATAAAAATGCCATTAGATAAACGTTTTTCTGTTTATCATGAAGATGAACTTGTATTTTCTCTAAATCCCATTAATCATGTCCTAATATAATTTTTTTAATAAATACATTCAAAAAAGGCTTGATCTGATGATTAAATAAAAAATTAAAAAAAAAAAAGAATTTAGAAAATGAAGGGAAAATCAAGCAAGAAATTGCGTTACTGAAATCCAAATAATTTCAAAAGCATGTATATTCAATTATAAGAAAAAATAATGTAGGTTGTTTTGATTAGGTTATTATAATTTAAGAAATTCTAATATCTGACAAACATAAACAAAGATAGATTAGAACATACATACCTGACTAAAGGCCTTGACTCCAATTCTTTCAAGCTTAACTTCATTTGTAGGATCATCAGCAACTTGTAATAAAACATCCACCATATCTTTAGCCACCCAACTTTCCTTCTCTTTTTCCCTTCTATCATTATGTTCATCCAACACATGCTCCAAAAATCTATCAAATTTCTTAGCCAAAATTTTCATTCTCTTCACATAACCTTGTACATCCATGTACTTTAAACAAGGTATCCAATCTCCAAGATTTAATACCCCATTTAACAAGAATAATTCATCAAGCATTAACTTAAATTCCTCTAATGTTAAGACCGATTTTTCTTCATTATTTTTATCCAAGTATTTTTTACCTAACACCATCCTACTAATCACATTTAGGTTCATAGTAGATAAGTGATCTCTTAGCACAATGGGTTCTCCATTAGTGTTAAATATATTTCTTAACATGGAATTAAGTTCTTCTACGCGTATATACTCATACAGTTCGAGTCTCTTGGAGCTAAATAGTTCCATCAAGCATATTTTTCGTGCTTGGCGCCAATAAGGGCCATATTGAGACCATGTTATATCGGTATAGTTATAAGTTGTGTACTTTCCGGCAGCATTTTTAGGCCTTCCGGCAAATGCTTCATCATGTGTTTTAAGGAAATTTTTCGCCATTTCTACTGATGAGCCTACTAGCACTGGAACTGACCCAAAATGGAGCATCATTATAGGTCCATATTTTTTTGAGAGCTCATGGATGGAGTGGTGAGGAAGGGATCCAATAAGGTTAAAGTTCCCAATGATAGGCCATGGTTTTGGGCCTGGTGGTAGGTTAAGTTTACGACGGCGAAGGTGGTTGGTAAGGAGTACTATGGCTATGGCCGCCAGCCATGCAAGCACATTAACGGCCAAAGATGGTGCCTCCATTGGTGTTCAAGCTAAAAATGGAAATAACTTTTTTTTTGTTTTTTTTTTTTTTTTTTTTGAGGGTTTATATTTTTCAAGTTGAATTCAATAGGGGATACTTATAGTGATTGAAGCAAGAATAACCCTACTTATAGAAAATAATAATGCATGCATTTGTGAAGTAGCGATTTTATTTGCATTGGTTTTATTTATAACTTTCTTATATGGTGCCACTTGGGAATACATTATACATAGGCAACATAGCTGACCTATGGTGAATGTGACGAGCTGAGTTCTTTCAAAAAAACATGATGTGTAATTGAAAACATCATAAAATTTTACAAGCTTACAAAAATTATTAAAAAAAATTTATACCTAAAGGCCAAGCAACCTTAAAACTGAATTTGAAACTTACATCGCTTAAAGAGGTTCTAGCTCAAGGTCCGGTCACTAAGACATAATACTTAGCTTCGTATTATATACTACTAACTTATTTGACTTTCGATTCTCTCTCTGAGATAGGATAACCATTTAGCCATTCTTGACCTTTCTCGGCGGTAGAGAGATCAGACTATTTGTATCGTGTACTTTTTTATCTATCAATAAACCTCCAACTAACGTAAGTGTAGTTAAATTAGTGGGTTAATTCACCCATGTACTCCATAATTAATTGATTAAATGGAAAGTATATTCAAATTGAACTGGTATGTTGTTAGATTGTCATTTTCGAATAGTAGTTGTAGAGTGTATAGTTCTATCTTCTTCTCCATATTATATATAGCAAGCTGGTTAGGAATGACTCGATCATTCAAGAAAATGTGGAAAAATATAAGGGATTATTTGTTTTTAGCATACGATATCAGATCGTTTTAGGTTTTACTATTGTATATAAAATAATAAACTCTAATTGTTACTTAAATACGGGGTACTTTTTAAAGACTTGTATTCGGTCTTGTGACCTATCAGCGATTCAGCGTATAGTAGTATAATACTCAGTACGTACTACGTAGCTCACACATGCATCATATCATGCAAGATTATTAATAAATCTTGCATATATATGTCACACCCTCCAATCTAAACTAAAAATGTAGACTAAGCTAGCTAGCTCAGTGAATAAGGTACTCCACTTATTATAAGTACGAGTTTACATACTGCTCTCTTCATCTTTTTATACTTGTCTTATTTTTTATCTTTTCATTAGATCGAAGCCAGAAATAGAATTATAAAGTTATGGGGCCGATTAGTTGATACTTCAAATTACAAAATATGAATATATATGTTGAATTGCTTATAATCTATGATATTATTATCTTGTTTTCTCACATTTATTGGCTTATTAGAATGATAATTATACATCTGTTTACGTAGTACTCCGTAGTAATAGTTTAGGATCACACCCAAAGGTTGTATCAACGAGTATGAAAGCTAAAACTTGAAGGCATATTAAGCCTATACGCTACAGTTTACTTTAAGAATCATGGGACGTTCTTTTTTTTTTTTTTTTTTTGAATTTGAAGAAATGGGACGTTCAATTTATATCAAAATCTTGTAGAGGTCAAGAGTAAATATCAAAGCCACAGAGTTGGGCAGCCCGCTTCACATCTAACAGATAGACAAATAAGTCAAACAGTTAATATCACATATGTTTATATGACCCCGAGATGTATCCCCTAAAATCTCTTCTTTTTTTTTTCGACAACGGGTCCTAAAACCTTCAAAATTTCTCAAAAAACATGGATACTAGCCTACAATTTTGGAATTTTTAGACTTATTCGCACGGAAATAAAATTTGTCGAAATGTTTACCATGATCCCTAATATTCCCCGGGAGGCATATTGGGTGGGTGGAACCATCCAATTTGCCTTTAACGACCAATTTACTGGTTTACAACTTGCAACGATTTCATTAACTCAAGTCTACTACGAACATTTATGAAAACAAATAATGGTCATATATGGTTCCAAATGACATTATATGACCCAAACATGTATTCCTTAAAATTTTAAAACTTTTAGACACCAAGCCTCGAAAACTCCAAAATTTCTCAAAAAGCGTGGATATTAGCCTTTAATTTTTGAATTTTTTGACATTTTTAGCGCAGAAATAAAAATTGCCAAAATGTTTACTATGGTTCCTAATAATCTTCGGGAGTCCAATTGGGTAGGTTGAACCATCCAATTTGCCTTTAAACGGCCAATTTACCGATTTAAAACTTGCACCGATTTCATTAATTCAAGCCTACCATGAACATTTATGACAACATATAATGATCATATATGGTTCCAAACGACATTATATGACCCCAAAATGTATCCCCTAAAATCTCAAAGCTTTTCGACAACGGAACTCGAAACCTCCCAAATTTCTCAAAAACGTGGATATTAGCCTTCAATTTTGGAAATTTTTTTACTTTTATTCACTCGGAAATAAAAATTGCGAAATATTTAACATGGTCCCTAATACTCTCCAGAATCTTAATTAGGTGGGTGGAACCATCCAATTTGCCTTTAAACGGCTAAATTAACGGTTTACAACTTGCATCGATTTCATTAACTCAAGTCTACCATCAACATTTACGACAACATATAATGATCATTTATGGTTCCAAACGACATTATATGACCCCGAGATGTATCCCCTAAAATCTCATTTCTTTTCGACACCCGAAACCTTCGAAATTTCTCAAAAAGCATGGATATTAGCCTTCAATTTTGGAATTTTTAGACTTTTTTTTTGCACGGAAATAAAATTTGTCAAAATTTTTACCATGGTCCACTAACATTCCCCGAGAGTCCAATTGGGTAGGTTGAACCATCCAATTTTCCTTTAAACGGCAAATTTAGCGATTTACAACTTGCACCGATTTCATTAATTCAAGTCCACCACAAACATTTATGACAACATATAATGATCATATATGGTTCCAAACGACTTTATATGACCCCGAGTTGTATCCTCTAAATTCTCAAGGCTTTTCGACAACAGACCATGAAACCTCCAAAATTTCTCAAAAACGTTGATATTAGCCTTCAATTTTGGTATTTTTTTTACTTTATTTATTCGTCTGGAAATAAAAATTGCCGAAATGTTTACCATGGTTCCTAATACCCTTCGGGAGTTTAATTAGGTGGGTCAAACCATCCAATTTAACTTTATACGGTCAAATTACTGGCTTACAACTTGCACCGATTTCATTAACTCAGACCCACCACAATCATTTATGACAACATATAATGATCATTTATGGTTCCAAATGGCATTATATGACCCCGAGATGTATCCCTTAAAATCTCATTTCTTTTTGACACCGGGTCCTCAAACCTTCGAAATTTCTCAAAAAAAACATGGATATTAGCCTTCAATTTTGGAATTTTTTGACTTTTATTCGCACGGAAATAAAATTTGTCGAAATGTTTACCATGGTCCCTAATATTCCCCGGGAGTCCCATTTGGTGGGTGGAACCATCCAATTTGCCTTTAAACGACCAATTTATTGGTTTATAACTTGCACTAATTCCATTAACTCAAGCCTAACACGAACATTTATGAAAACAAATAATGATCATATATAGTTCCAAACGACATAATATGACCCCGAAATGTATTCTCTAGAATTTAAAGACTTTTAGACACCAGGCCTCGAAAACTCCAAAATTTCTCAAAAAGCGTGGATATTAGGAAAAATGCAGTTTAATAATCCCAACTTTGTCTAATTAATTTAAATAATCCCAAAGTTTGATTATTCTTCAACGATCCAACTTTCACCTGCGTTTTCTTTCTTCAAGCCAAATTACCAGTTACCTGTAAAAAAAGGTTTTAAAAAATTTAAAAAAAATTACTTGACACGTGTTGCATTCTAATTACTTCGAAAAAAATTAAATTAATAAACAAAAAAAAGGATAAAGAAGACCACCAGCCAGTCAGCCACCAAATGCTGGTGGCCTTCCTTCCCCATCTGCCAAGTCCCACTCCCAAACCACCCTTCTAGATCCCTCTACCCTACTTTTCCGAACTCCCTCACTCCTTTTATCCACTGGAAACCTTCCCCTCGCACCTGTTGTTTGCGTTTTCCGGCGCATGAAGGAGAAAGAAATTAGGAATTTGCATTTTTGGTTGTTTCGCTGGTGAGAAGGTGAATTCAAGGGCAGGGGATGGTGTTTTAGGTGGTTTCGGGGGCGGGGACAGGGGAGGAAGACGACTTTAAGGAAGGGGCTTTGGTTATGGGTGGTTTCGAGGTTATGGGTGGTTGTTTCGGGGTTATGGGTTTTGGCTATAGCTGTTTTACGGGGTAAGGGTAGGAGAAAGGCCGATTTTGCGGGGGTGGGGCGGTTTAAGGGGAGGTAAGGGAGGCCGAGGATTGGGACGTGGTGGTTCGGTTGGGATGGGGAAGGGAATGGCCACCGCAAGTGGTTGTGGGCTGGTGGTGGCATGTATTGTTTTTTTTTTACTGATTTTTTTAAAAAAAAAATATTTTGGACCATTTACAACTTGACACGTGGAAAATTACCTACAATAAAAGGTGGTTGAAATTTGTTGATCGGGTTGGAATGGATAGAAGAAAATAGAGGTAAAAGTTGGGATTAGTGCAGAATAATCAAACGTTAGGATTATTTAAAGTAATTTGAGTAAAGTTAGGGTTATTAAACTGTATATTCCTGGATATTGAATTTATTTCGCCCAGAAATAAATATTGCAAAAATGTTTACCATGGTCCCTAATAACCTCCAGAAATCCAACAGGGTGGGTTGAACCATCCAATTTGCCTTTAAACAGCCAATTTACCAGTTTACAATCAACTTGCACCAATTTCACTAACTCAAGCCTACCACGAACATTTATGACAACATATAATGATCATTTACGGTTCCAAACAGCATAATATAACCCCAAGATATTTCCCCTAAAATCTCATTTCTTTTGACAAACGGACCCCAAAACCTCTAAAATTTCTAAAAAAACGTGGATATTAGCCATCAATTTTGGAACTTTTTGACCTTTTTTCGCCCGGAAATAAAAATTGCCAAAATATTTAACATAGTCCCTAGTACCTTATGGGAGTCCAATTGGGTAGATGGAACCATTCAATTTGCCTTTAAACGGCCAATTTATCGATTTATAACTCTAACCGATTTCATTAATTCAAGCCAACCACGAACATTTGTGACAATATATAATGGTCATATATGGTTCCAAACGACATTATATGACACCAAGATATATCCCTTAAAATCTCAAGGCTTTTCGACAACAGACCCCGAACCTCTAAAATTTCTCAAAAAGCGTGGATATTAGCCTTCAATTTTGGAATTTTTTTACCTTTTTTCGCCCGGAAATAAAAATTGTCAAAATGTTTATTACCATGATCCCTAATATTCTTTGGGATTCCAACTGGGTAGGTGAAACCATTCAAGTTGCCTTTAAACTGCCAATTTACCAATTTACAACTCTAACCGATTTCATTAATTCAGGCTTACCACGAACATTTATGACAACGAATAATGATCATATACGGTTCCAAACGACATTATATGACACCGAGATGTATCCACTAAAATCTAAAGGCTTTTGACAACGGACCCCAAAA